TTTCAGCTAATGAATTGTTGACAGTCATGTTGAAAGATTGAAGGCGTGATTTATATGGCTACGATTTGCAGTATCAGACGATGGCGATGAAGTGGTGGTAATATGAAGTTTCGTGTAAGCAAAGATACAAATTTATCATCTGTATTTCCTATAACTCAATCAGTTCAGATCCCACAGCGATCTGATAATGTTTGTAATGTTGATAACCGTAAATTGAAATTTGAAAGCAAAAATCGACATCATTCTACATTTTTTAGTATAAGTACCTTCATATTCCTGTTAAGAAGTCTAGAATCAACGATGGAGAGAAATAAGAAAGAGGAAATTGTTATCATTATAGTAACCGTCAAGAAGAGATTAACTGAAATCAGTATGATGATAAATTAACAAGTACAATTTGCGCTAGTAATTCTCGAATATGTGATCTTAATGTTCTTTCAAAGTAGGCGCATATGGCATGGTAGTTATGCTAAAGTGATCGGAACACCATAAAAGTTGGAGTCACGTCTTCAATCCTTTAAATTAACTGTGATGATTAAGCATACTGTATAGAAGGCATCAATTAATTTAATATCTTCGAACATAATTATAAGAGTATTCGTTTTAACAAACTATATGTGCTTCAGTAAACTTTCTTATGTCCAAAGTTTTTCCTCGAAATAAAGTCATATTCATGTAAAAGTTGTACTACATTCCTTTGTAAATCTAAACGTTTACTGATATAATCAGAATTACCGACTGTGATCACATATTTCTGATTTTATTGCTTAAAAAATTTTAATTTCGAAGAAATCAATCTATTTTTTGAAAAATCAAGCTAGTTAAAGAAAATTTTGCAAAGAGGGTGTGCAAAATATTGATTGTTGCGAGCATAAAATTTAGGTTATTAAATAAAAGAGCGCGAAGTGCTGACAATAAAAAAGGTAGTAATGAAAATAATTGCTCATATGATAGAGAAACATAAATGACGGTAAAGCAGTATAGACAGACGTGTACCAGCAATACAGTGGTGCAGACATACACACAGACGCATCATACTTATAAAGGGTGGGTGATACAGTGGTGTTGGTGTAGACAAGTTATACATAGACCACTTCATACGGACATCAAACAAGCACCTTTTTATTGGTACAATAAACTTTTTATGATTTGTCAATAACGCTGAAAGACGAAATCGAGACTTATTTCCGCTTTTCACAATCATTTCACATTAACAATAAACTTGTTTAGCTTTTAATTGCATTTCAAACATACTAATTGTTTATTTCATGTCCATTTGGTAAAATGATAGATAAATATATCATATGTCGAGCAATTGAAGAGTTAAAAATGCAGTTAAAAGGATATTTAATCAAAATGGAAGTTTATCATTAAACTGCTGATTATCGTAGAGGGAATCTACTCCTTGTCAGGTATCAACGGAACATAAAATTGGAAACAGCAAAGTGTGAAAAGAAATAAAGTACAAATGTCGATATCTTTAAGAAATATGAATAGGTATATAATGTAGTTGCAGTAGCTCTAAAAATCCTGAGATTTAATTTGAAAATTCTTTGTATTCGTTCACTTATTTTTGAAATTTTATTTCAACAGAAGGAAAAATATCCTTACTTTTCTTAATGAGAACCATAACTTTTTTAGAACTATATCGATTCTGTTGCTGATGATATCAGACAAAGTCAATACAGCTCAGCGACGCAGTAGCGAAAGTGGTAATGTTCTATAAAAGGTATGTAAGATTATTTAATACTCTGCAACTTTTTTTGCATTCAAACTTTTTATGATGATTTCATTAACAAGATCATTGTTTATGTCCATCTAACTTTTGGCAGGAGGCTACGAGATTACCATATGTGATAGTAGATGAAGTGCATTGCTGTTCAATGGCGGTTATCAAATTTTTACGATCATATCATAGTGAAATTGTAAATAATCTTTGATAACTAATGATCTAAAGAACTAGTTCAAAAGTTACAGATAGAACTTGAAACCACAACAGAATTTATTCGATCGCTAGCTGTTTGTTGTCCTCTAATCCTTTATAAATTTTTTTTCAAAGAAAAATTTTCTTTTCGAGGAAGAAGGACAAGTTTTAATTCATTGAAATGAACTGGAATAGAGATTGAATCGCAAAATTCAAAAAGCCCATAAATGTAACAGTAAAATCTTCCGAATTTTTTGTTCGTGTGTGCGTGTATGTGTGTGTGTGTGTGTGTATGTATGTGTGTATGTGTGTGTGTATGTGTGTTCACGCACACTAAAAATGCTGCAATAATACAATGCTTTATTTAAGCATTTGATGGAGTTTCGGTTCCCAAAACGACATTACTCATAAAAATATGAAATGAGCAGCATTTTTGATGTGCGATGAGGCATATTCCTTCCCTTTTATAAATAATCATAATATTAAGAGAAACAACTAGCACTACAAAATATATCAGATAAATTTAACTGTCCCTCATGAATGTATTCAAGATCCAATGAATAAATGCTTTAAGTACGGATATGATATACATGTTTTAGCATGTATATCATATGTGTACATGAGGAGTATGCACTTTATGTAAAACATATCAGAGAGCGCGCACTTTTGAACATACAAAACATACAAATCATATTGTACTACGTATATCTCCAAACAGAAATTTATCATACGTTTATGTACACGTACGTAATGTAATTCTCCTCAACTTACAAAACCATGGTTTAATTACATCGCATACTTCTGCACCCAAAAATATCTGTATAAACTTTACGTAGCATCCTACCACGTATGTTCTCTTGCTTTTTGTGAGTACTTAGGAGCTACGTTGGAAGCTCAGGATGCGGCTTTAAAATTTGAGATGAAAGTGTGGAATTCTTCTGTTGATTCAGAAAATGCTCCACTTATCATTCACAACGATAATCATTATATATGCGGCGATTTTATAAGATTGAAAAATATGAAACCACATGTTCTTCTATCCGAATCACTTCCTACCTACCAAAGAATGATTTCAAACAATAACCAATCCCTACATAAGCTGATCGATGATGAATTTAAAAGTGATGCTTTCGAGCTTGATTGAGCGAAGGAACAAACCTATTAGGAAATCTTACTTGCATTAAAGCAAATGTTGAAAAGTTTGCCATCTTTCTGACGCACCATTGCAAGTAATGAAAAGTATGGAAATGGAGGATGTCTAATTGAAAATACATTTCTTTCAGTTACCCAATTTTAGGAGGAAAGTATAACAGGAAAAATAAATCTCTTAGACAAACAACCTGAACAAAGTTAAGAATAAAAGAAAATTCCGAGAGATGCCCGCTAGCAGGGCAGCACGAGGCAAAATAAATTGAAGGAAAAAGAGCAAAAAACTTTTATAATGTGCATAATTTGAGAGAGAAATGAAAACCTCTCATTTCTTCTGTAGATGATGAAAAGCCTTTCTGCGCTTATATGTTTGCTGTTATTGCTAGTTTTTATTCTGAGCACTCACTGTCATGGTCAATTAATGCTGGACTATTTCCGGTTTCTCTCTTTTCTCCTTTCATCGCTACCATATTTTTTAGGAAACTTTCATTATTCATGTCACATAGCATAAATGAACTTGTAAGTATTCAAGAAAGAGTCTTGAATACTTACATCGTAAATGACATTTTGATATTAGAAAGGATGAATTAAACCGGTCTGGATTACTCCCTCCTTTAAAAAGAGAAAAAAAATCTCATAGCGTCCATAATGTATCTGCATAGATTTCATTATTTTTATTCTAATGATAATTTTATAATGTCCTTTTATTCTCATAAATTTCATTACTCTAATGATGATAACTTTATAAATCGCCGTCAAGACAGGAAAAACTTTATATATTCCTCAGAGAATTAAAGTGCGATGTGCGGTACATCAGCTCAAAATACATTATACTCTTTAATAAATGATAGCCAACACTGCAGAGGGTTCTGCCTAAAGAGTGTTTCATAATATTTCTTCTTCACTTGTTTCCCGTTGCCTCTGAAATCAAGAATTGATTTCTCCACCTAAATGATGATCAAGGGGCTCTTCTAAAGCTCCTCTCTTATTTATATGACAAAGATTTATTTTATTCATTGATTCTGTTCAACCTTCATTCGATGTTACTCAACTCAATACAATTTCAGTTATAGGAATCTACTCGATCGCTTAATGCAGTACGTTTTTTGATAGTGTCATCTTGAAATAGGACCATTAATGTTTATTTTGAATAGAACTAGCTAACAACTTAACAGAGAAGGTAGTTTTTATTCTTTAACAACAAGCCTTTCACAAGTCTTTTAAAAGAGTTACTTCCGCCAAATTTGTAATTCTGTGCAGAAACTATTTTGATTAACTGAATTCGATTTCATCATGGATTTAAGCGGAATCCATTCGCAGTAGAAAAATTGCTATACCGACAAATTGTGCTGTATTCGCCTTCCTGTCATGAAAGAAGGAAAGAAGGACGAATGCTATCAACATTTCCTTACAAGTCCATCTCCCAGTACACCACAACACCCTGGAAGAAGAAGAAGTGATTACGGAACGGACAGGAAGACGAATACCAGCACAATTTGTCGGTGTAACAATTTTTCTGCTGCGAATGGATTCGGTTTAAATCTATGATGAAATCGAATTCGGTTTAAATCCATGATGAAATCGAATTCGGTTAATCAAAATAGCTTCTGCACAACAAATTTGGCGGAAGTAACTCTCTCAAAGGACTTGTGAAAGGCTTGCTATCTTCGAGACTCACTACCGTCCCTTCTATGTCTCATTACGCTATCTCCAATCAAAGAGCACTCAAATTTAACGGACCACAGTGCTGTTAGTTGACTGGGGTGATTGTAAAAAGGGCGTGGGTAGTGCGTTGTTGGTTGTGTTTTTGTAGTACTTTTCTTCGCTTAACTTACAGTCTTATTTGAAGACGTTAATTTCTAAATGTTGCTGTGATGCAATAAATGTATACTCTTATGAGATGGAAGTGAACTAAGACCACGAATCAATGAGCTACAATTGGATTCAGCAGTCGGCAATACCTGGAAGGTTTGATCAATGTCTCATTTCCTCTGCTTCACAATATTAAAGCTATTTCCATATTTCATTAGTAAACATGTTTATTTTAGTGTTAAGCCTGTTTACGGTGCTCAGTACCCTCCATTAACGGAATACGAGGATTTTTCGAATGATGTTAGCAAAACTGACAGTGCCGATAATCAGCATTCAAATTCTGGAGCAAAGTTCCAAAATTATATGGATAGGTTCGTCTTCAACAATTTTTGCGTGATTGTTCAGTGAATCTCTTTTTCTAAGAAAACGTGAGTACATTGTTGAATTAAAAACGGTCTTGCATTACTAACATATAGTGAGGTATATTTCTAGTGCTTCAAACACTTATAGAGAATGCTTAATATATTGATCAGTCATGGCTGGACGATCTAACAATCATATTTTCAAGGCGAAATCGTGTACCACTTTTTGTAGTACACGATTGGATTCGCGATTTTATTGTATTATCCTCTGTGGGACACGTTGAGTTGAGCAAATGAATTCTTTTGGTGGTAACCACGCAGTCGATCAGTTTTAGTTTATGGGCCTTTAATATAAAAACGGTTAAAATAATTGTTGAAGTAAAAGTTGAGGAAAGAATACCTTTGCTAGTTAGTCAGCTAATTCGACTTGATTCTTTGATTTCAGCGTACATTGGTTTTAGTATTGCATTAATTTCTGTCAATGATAAGCTTCTAAATGATAGCATGTAAAAAGGTATCTTAGCTAGCATTAGTTTCTTTAAATACTAACATACGTTTCATTATTAGGTTTCAGCGAATGAATACCAACTAAATAAAACGAATAACTTTTTCAGTGTATCAGACGCTTGGGATGTGTCTGTAACACTAGATGAGCGAGCTGCTTGCACAAGTGCTGCAAAAGTCCTCGAGCGACACGCTAACCTTGTAGCGCGTGACTTAATAATGCCACCGGTTAATCCAATTCCTTCAAGAAACAGCAAAATGCAGGCTATGCAACGTTTGGCCATCCAGAAAGGTAAATGATTTTTTATTTTTTCGATTAAAGTTTCATATTATGATACCTCATTCTTTTAACTGGGAAGCTTACGAATCATATCTCTCAAATTTGAGAACCAATACCTGGAACGGCAGTGCCAACAGGGAGCAGTGGAGTCCATCTATCTATAAATTTATATCCGCGGCTACCAGAGGTAAGTCTTTTTGCTTTTTAAAAGTTTGGGCTACTGTTTTTAAGAAGCGTGAACATAGTTTTTTTGAGATTTATGACAAAATTTATGCAAGGTAAAGTGGATAAGAAAATAGGCTTCAGTTATCAATAATTGGTACCTGAGTAAATAGAAGTGAACCTGTTTAGCTGTTAGAAATTCACTCTTAGATTGGGTTAAGGTAAAAATATCGAAGACCAAATTTTATGTTTCATTTATCGGAAACTGCAGATATCGGTTGAATACGGAAGAGCACCATCAAGTTCAATAATAGGTGGCTCGATGATGGCACATGATTCACCGACAGCTCGAGGGCACGCTTTAGGTTATTGTTGGCGTCGTCTTTATACATAATTCTATAAGTAGATAATAAAATAACAGTCTTTCATCTATGCTTATTGTTTCTGATCTGGTTATAACGGCGGGTCCGATTTGCGATTGTTTCCAAAACTTATGCATTTCTTACAGCTCTTCAGCGTGACCATGCTCGCTTCGATCGATTACGCGCCCAGCTTGGTGTTCACACAAGTCCATCGTTAAGTCCAAAGATCGGTACACAGTCTTTGAAAACCATAGATATTGATTTAGAGCAGTTGCGCAAGGACTGTTGGATGGGTATACCTCATAAATTACGACCAACGATTTGGAGAATATTGCTGGTAAATCTATGCTCACTGTTCTATTTTACTTCCCCACTTTTATTTTTATCAAATTTTTATTTATTTTTGTATCTTCACAGTTCCATTCAAGATTGTTGTTCGGAATATTATGAAGAGCATAGCTGTTATTTTTTAATGTTGACTTTTTTTTCCTATTCCTTTTAATGCTTTTTCTGTTAATCAGGGTTATCTTCCAACAAATTTTGAGCGTCGTGAAGTAACACTTGCGAGGAAAAGGGAAGAGTATTGGCGTTATGTGGAGCAATATTTTCATACTCGATATGATGAGCAGCATCAGGATACCTTCAGACAGGTTTGTGGATTAAATTAGTTCCTTTTTTCTGCATTTTTATTAATAATATTGGTAGAAATGAAATGAATTGATTTACAGATACACATTGATATTCCGCGTATGTGTCCCCTGATACCGCTTTTCCAGCAAAAAGTAGTGCAGGAGGTATGCTATGAATGTTCAAAATTTTGAATAATTTTTGTCAAACTTTTCCGTGAACTGACCATGTTTATTGTTTGCAGATCTTTGAACATATTTTATATATCTGGGCTATTCGCCATCCAGCAAGTGGTTATGTACAGGGTATCAACGATCTTGTCACACCTTTCTTTGTTGTGTTCCTCTCAGAATTCATATCTGATGGTGAATTTATTTTTTTATTCGCTAACTATTGCTATAAGAAATAAATAGTTGAAAACAAGAAGACTGGTTTTAGATACGGAAGTAGGAACATACGATGTAAGTCAATTACCACGAGAACAAATTGAAATCGTTGAAGCAGATAGTTTTTGGTGCGTCACGGCATTGTTGGATACAATCCAGGATAACTATACATTTGCACAACCAGGCATTCAGCGTAAAGTATCGCAGTTACGACATCTGATGAGTCGTGTTGACAGTAAGTTCACTTGGAGGAGTATGTTCATTTTCCAAAATTATGATGGAATTAATCTGCATAAAAAATTAATAATGCAGATTCCATGGATAATATTTTCGAATGAAATATGAAATTTCCTTTATTTTTAGAGCAGCTTCATCGTCATCTGGAAGCGCATGGTGTTGAGTACTTACAATTTGCATTCCGCTGGATGAATAATGTTCTTATGAGAGAAATCCCTTTGCGAGCCACAATTCGCCTTTGGGATACTTTCCTGGTGAGTTGACTATTCATTGTGACTGACTTTCTGGTTAATTTATTATAGCATTATATTGTTTATATTGCATGTGTATCCTAGATTTACCTAAAAAAGCTTTATTGGTAAATGAAAAATGTAGTTTTTGAAAACGACAACAATTTCTTCTAGTTTTAATTCATTATTTTTTTTGGTGAGGTTCATTAGAGTTTGGGAATTTTCACTCACAGTGTTCAGGTTGTTTCAGAGTGAAAAGAACGGTTTCTCGCAGTTTCATGGCTATGTATGTGCAGCTTTTCTTCGAATGTGGTCTAAGCAGTTACAAGCAGAAAAGGATTTTCAGGTTTTTCGAAAGTCTTATGCATCTTGAAATTAATGGATTCATGTATTATTAATAAAATGAATTGTAAATTGCAGGGAATAATGTTACTACTGCAAAATCTTCCAACACACAGCTGGGGAGATCAACAGATATGTGAGTTGACAGCAGATGCCTTTTCTTTAATGGCACTTTTCGATGGCGCCAAGAATCATTTGACACAAGATATGAATACGTAATAGGATTTGGAAAACTTTTTTATTGCATTAGGGTTATTCTTTTGCTCTTTGACTTCCTTATACCAATGAGCAGTTCACATTATGTTTAATTTACCATTAAAATTTGTTAAATTTTTTTCATTTTTCTTAGCTCTTTAAAGTATTGAGCGATGCCGTTGTGTTCACGACCACTTTTTTATAATTCAATTGGCTTAAACGAAGAGATATGAAGGTATGGTAACCCCTTTTCATGTTTCCCTATTTTTATTAAGGAAGATCTACGTGAATAGAAACGAATCCGAACCAATTTCACTTCAGGTACGTTGTAGATGCAACGCTATTGTGGAGAAATCTGTAGGGGATTTCTCCTTCATAAATCTTTTGCAATTTTCAAAGTTTTTAGTACTTAAATTCTTCTTGAGCATGTTCTCACGGAAGTCATTTCTAACTGCGACTTTAGTTCGAAAAAGTGCCTGACTTGATGGCTGTTGTCAGAATTCTCTTCGACTTCTGATTTCACACCAAATAAATTGTTTAAATTGTTTCACCGCTGTTCGTAGCATACTTTACGTAAGGTGTAATCAAAATTTTTATCAAATTTAATCAGTCAAAAGACAAGTACATCATATTTAAAATTTATGAAAAAACACATGCGGAAAAATGCATATTATGGGACGTTCGGCTCGATGCATTCTCAAAAAACGATGGTTAAAGGAAATGAAACATGAGTATAACATATATTCTTCAAAAAAAACGAGTAAAAAGTAAAATTCTGAGATTACCCCGTACTTGTCAGTGACCACTAATAAACAGAATCTAGCAAATGGAAAATGTAGATACACCGGAACTGAAATTACGAATCCACAGTGAATTATAATTGCGTGTTGTATACATATGTGATACAGCGATAGCAAATAAGGGTGTGATACAAAGACCGAGGACCAGAGGTAGTCTTCCAGAAAAAACCGTAACAGGTATACGTCATAGTGGATTGTGAAAAACAGATTTGCAACTACAAGATACAATGCATGCATGCATAAAACCAGACACGCATGCATGCATAAAACCAGACACAACCGTTTTCAAGTTATCATAAAATTTAAGTGCAATTTAGCTTGTAAACAAAGTTTCCGATACAGATAACGAGTAAAGACAATGGTTGATTAACATCGCCAAGTAATCAGTAACACAGATAAAAAAATTCTCAGTTATTACACAAGTAACGATTTATTATTCGCGTTCAGCTCTTCGCTGCCTTCGAAGTACTGGATTCAAAACAATTGAACTTGAACCCGGATGCATATCAGAATTTGCTGAATCTTCGTCAGGATTGTAGCTAACATCCACCTCTGTATCGCTATCCGAATCCACTGCCAGCGCATGTACTTGAAAAAATTATTTACATGCGACTTCATTGTAAGTATTTTGATTTTTAAAATCGTATTTTAAAAAAAACAAAGAGATTTGTCAGATTAAAAACCAAGTATTAAAACTTTCTGGTGTTTAATTCATATGGGAAAACTCAGCTGACTGGATACTGAATTCCCATCAGCGCATTTTTATCATTTCCAAATTACATAGTGGAAACATACATAAGCGAATATCACGTCGGTTCGTACCCGGATCAAAAACAATATTTAGAGCCTCACGATCACCAATTCGCAAAAGTACACCATTATTTCGTTCTGAATTTTCGCCGTTTTCCGAAACGTGTTCATTATTATCTGCCCACTAAAAATAAGTTTAAAAATTTGTCAGTTCTTGCTGGATTAGAACTTAATACTTCAAGCTTATTGGAAAAACTAAATTGGTTAATTTTAGACTGCTGATAGCTTCCTTCTTTAGTTGGAATTCCCTACTTAATTCACATGAATAGCACCAAACATCTTGAAATTACGAGATATTTAGCATACTAATTACTGCACAGATTGCAATATATATTATCATTCGAGTTATTAGTTATAATTACTTAAACTTAGCTCAAAGATCAAACCTGTTCATCATCATTCAAACTTCCATTAGGACTACGTGCCGATTCGTATACGGATCCATCACTTTCTTCATCAGAATTCTCTTCCGATGAAGAATCCGTAGCAGTCGTATCTTCAAGCGATGTGTCCATTTCACTAGATGAACCCATATCATCATCTTCATTATCGTCACCTGTTTCCTCCTCCAAATATATTTTTTTTTTAACACTGCTAAATTTTTGACAAAAACTGAGCACTTAGTTGATTGTTAGAAACCATCCAGTCCTACAAACTTAGCAACACCTGCTAATTTCAACTAAATATGACCAAGAGACTATAAAATGAAAAGTACAGATATATGAACGAATTCATCATATAATTTTGTGTTTCGCAGAAATGACAAAAAAGTATACTTGTTCATCATCACACTCGTCTGCTTCACGGCGTTTCCCAACCTCGTAAAGACGGCATACATTTTCTCGCAGCTCTAACAAATCATCTGCATTCCCATGAGCTTCTATCAAAGCCATATACTGATCGTTATGATCAGCACAGAAATCGAATAAAGCTCGTTTTGCGTCCACTGTTGTAATTACCTGCATAAAAATCATATCCATTTGTGCTCCCGAAAGATAAAAATACTTGATACAGATATGAAATAAATAAGGAAAAAAGAGACAAGTCTACTTTACATCATTTACAGCTCATTCTGTGGGATGAAACTGGTATATTCAGCATACAAGTAGCATGTACGCCACTACTATTTGTAATTCTAAATTATACCTTGTAGGTAGTAGAATCAAAAGTTCGAAACGAACAAGCAAATGTTTGACGAAAGCGATCATCTATTTCTTCTACATCCAAATAAGCTGCTAGAAAATTTTATATTCTAATAGTTGTACTGACATCTGCCAGATCAGTTCAGATCATATTAATAATAAAAATTCACTTGTTTGTGAATATCGAAATAACTGTATTCTTCCCAAAGATAAAACTAGTTGAATTTTTAGCACAGGAAAAGAACATACATCCGTAAATAGCATCTGTGCCACCACTAAATACAATTTTACACTGATCAAGTGCACTGATACTATGCAGCAATTTGAAGTTACGCACATCCCACTGAAAATTTTATCATTAAATTAGCGCAACTTTATTTTTTGTTAACTAAAAAAGGTTTTATTATCTTGGGTTTCATACGAATTTAAAATAACACAATGAGAATGAGGAAAAAACCATTGCGGCACAGAAGCGTTTGGAAAAATCCAATAGCAAAATATTACCATGTAACAGGAAAGAATCAGTGTTGTAAATGGCTACCTCCGAAATTAAAAGCGGTTGTAAATCCAAGGAAAACTTGGATTTACAACCGCTTTTAATTTCGTATATCTTATTACATTTAAGCACAACAAATCGGTACAAACAATAGCGATAAACAAACCGATGCTTACATTATCGAATATGTTTTATTAATTCAACGACAAAAAATGAAAAACAAACGAACCACTTCAGAATTTATGATAACTTCATTTCCACGTGGATGGAATATACCACAATTTACAGCATTCATTTTGTCGAACTTGTGCACCATTTTCACTCCCAATCTCGGATCCCATAATATACCATCATTCAATACCAATTCATCTCTTGGGTCAAATGTTGCCCTGAATTTAACAATTATTTAACAAATAGTCAAATATCTTATATAACTGTACAGAAAAATGCTTCCATGTCCTACTAGTGAATTATACTAAACTTTCCAATGGCGAATTTCATACAGTCTCAGAATATTCAATTTAAACACCACATCGTGTTGTGGTAATAACAATTAATAAAAAGAATTAAAACGGAAGACATATGATCTATCAAGTATAATAATGTGCGTCAAGTGTTGACTGATCTTTCAGCAAGTAAAAATTATGTTCGGAAAATATTCACACAGTTACAAAACAGTAAGAGACTGATTTATGTTAGATGTTCAATAGTATTTTGGAATAAATAATGAACTAACTTGTTACGAGTATAATTACTTGCCAACGTGTCATCAAAAAGACGAACCACAGCTCGACCAGTTTCCGTATCATAAATCTGAAATGAATTTTAATTATATGAAAGGATTGCAACAGTCTATCATTTGTTAATAATTTTGTAGTATGAAATAATTACAGTCTAAGATAAGCAGAAATGCTAAACTAAATAATCACCGTTGCTTTACTCCCTTGCGTTCCGATGATACGATCTTGAACTGTTTTATTGAATTCAACAAAATATTCGTCTGGAAAATTGATCATATGTTCTTGCGTTTCACCAATGCGCCAGAGTGAAGAAAGCGGCTTCACAAAGGCAGATGAAGTAAGCAATAGCGAACCATCCTCAAAGAATTCGGCAATAACAGTCAAAAATTACAAATCCAAATTACCTGTTTTAAATACTCAGGTATATGAAAAATTGAAAGGAAATAACAAAATGATTTACTTTTGATTGTTCGATACCAGTAATTGCACTATGATGGCATTCGGTATTCGATTCCTCAGCACCGGTATGTATATTAAACCAGTTCAAACCACCAGCATAAGAGCCTAACAATATGTGTTCATCATCAATCTGAAAAAGTAGTGACGAAAAACAGGAAAAATATGGTTCCTTATTTTACAATAGGAAACAAGCAAATTAATTCTATGCTATTTTTAAAAATTACCGAAAAACTACAGCAAGTAAATGTCTCTTCGCTTTCCGTGAATGATCGTACTGGACGAAAGCGACTGAAAGCAAAGTGAATGTCCTCTCTGAATCTTTCCCGATTCCAAGCAGCCGAAATTAACTAAAATTATGAAATCATTTTAGAACCAATAATACGATTTATTTTGCAGATCGATTAAAAAAGCACCACAGAGATAGAAAGAAACCTAACAAACGAAGCAAACAAGTCTGATGTTACAGAAAGTGCTGAAAACGTCTTCAATTATTAAATTAAATTTTTCTTCACTCAATACGTTTCATTTTGTGATCATTTAGAGAAACAATTTACCGGACGTCTTAGAAATCGATTTGCAATATTTTTTGGAGCAAAACGTTTACGTTGCGGTTCCGGGCAGTGATGTGGACTATAACAAAAATATATTAGATTTTCTTTTGGAATTCTTTTGACTAAAAAAATAAATCATTTCTGACTAAAAATTTTAACTTATTGTACTGTTTTGGAAAACTATATGAATCAGTTTCAATGCAACATACTAGTAGAGTGAGAAGGGTGGACACGTAGATACCGGATTACAACAAGTCGAATGTTGCTTTCTGAAAAATAATCTAAATTTAGGATTTATTCCAAAGCTCCATCTCAGTTTGACTTCAAAAATTAAACTAAGTTGATGATACCTGAAAAAATCTGTAACGATTTCATCAAGATCTTTCGGAGGTACTGGCATTGCCGATGGCAATTGAGGACACGTGACATTTTCACTGCTGTCGGTAACCTCCAGTTTTCCAAGGTCTGTTGAACAGCTACTTATAAAGGACGTTCCTGGAGGACTCCCGTCAAAATGACGACCTTAAAGAAATAAACATAAAGCAAAAAGAAGAAAAAGAGACAAATAAAAGATGCAGAGTAAAAAGAATGACGACAGTAATGATTTCCTTCAAATTACAGAAAATTTGATACTTCGAAAGTCTTTGCTGAAGAATATGCAATATTCAGTATCGCTTATTACCCTATACAACAGCTTTAGAATAATAAGTACATATTATTTCCTAAAGCAAATCCCCCTCCCCCCGAAAAAAAAAACTTACGCCCAGTAATGCTCAATGCCTTCGTTGATTTTGATATGGGTATCGAGGTTAAGGCAGTTATTTGGTCTCGCTGCTCATTAACTGGTGTGCGTTCTGCCCTTTAAAGAAATAAAACATCTATATGTACTGATCATATCATTTCGTAATTTCATTTCAAACGTAATCAGTTATTTAACAAATACATTTCATCATTCGAATGACGATGATAAGACGTCATTCGTGCAAAACCATAAAGAATATAAAATTGCTTTGTTAATGAAGATCATTGATTTAACGCCATCTAGTTAATCTAATCAGTTATGGAAAACTTTGGATAAATTGCTCATTTTTACCTATTACTTGATAAAATTTGCAAGTATCATATAGCTTCAAGAGAAGGCTTTTTTATTAACCAAAAACAATTATTCAGATTACTGCTCGACATTCTGACTTGAAATCTTACGTAATGGTGGATATCGTTGATTGTTCACTTTTTCGACGTCGACCGTTACCACCAAAGGTACTTAAAATTAAAGTTTTTTCCGACACAATTTCGCTGTTGACATCAGAAAAAGTATTTTCAAAACGTTTTGGCTGAAAAATTCCTTTTCATAGATTGTAGAACTCTAAGAATCATCAAAGAATTAATACCGAAAAAAATTACCAGTGCACCGATAGAACGCAGACCGGTGGAGACACGACTTGCAGGTATATCAGGTAAACTGGCTTCAGTTTTTAAATTATCCGCTGTATTGAGCAAACCCTTTTTGATCAGGTGTTGATGTATCAATTGCAACAATTCTTTATCATTGTAAACAATTTTGGTATGAGCAACTATATGCCATTTCCAGAGCTTTTCCTGCAATATTCACAAAATATGTCTAGAACAATCATAATATGATTCTCATGCAGATAATGACTTTTATTTCATTTATCATATTCAAAAAAGAAAAGAAAAATATCATATTCAAGAAAAAATCAAAACACACTTTCGTCAGATCTTTTGGAAAATCTTGGATTCGCTTGTTGGTGATTTTTTCAATCAGTAAATGAGCTTGCTCACAGAATCTGGCATGTTCAGCACGTCGCTCCTGTAGAACGGGTTCACGCATCAGACCTAAAATTGAGATGAAAGATTTTAAAAAATGAAACGATTCCGTCGTAAATTAAGAATTCCACCTCAAAAAATTTGCTTGGTTTAAAGGAAAAAAGCAGTTAAAACTTTACCGCAAAGCTCGCTGTTTGCAATAAGTGGCATTATTTCAAGGATTTGACGAACACTTTCGGAACGTGCTAAACCATTAAGAGCCTGACATGCGATTCCGCGAAGTGCATCTGCTTCTGTGATTGGCGTTTCTGTGTAGAGCAGTTTTTTCAAGATCTATAAAGAAAATACAATCACCGGAATAAGTACGGATAAGAACCAAAAATAAGATGGAAAGGGGTTAAGAATGGATGCTTTATTTTGCAAGCAGTGACATACGGATTTTTATGTTAAATTAATTCATCCGTTGCTCAAAAAGACACAATCAATTACGACATCATTGCGAGAAACTCCAAAAAGGATTGCATGAAAGAGCTCCAACCTGAGTTACAACAGTCTATTTCCAATGGGAAAGGTCTTATAAAGACTAAAAATCACCATAATCCCATTATTTCTTCGAACGGTAGTCCACATTTTTTCTAGAAAAAATTCCATCTGTGCTTTCCTTTGTTTTCGTATTTTATAAGGTGTTCCAACGCTTCGGCAGCTTATTCGAGAATCAGAAGAATGTACTAAAGTGTCACTAGCTGGAGGCGATATAGCCAGTCGTCCACTGTGCTGAAAAAAATAACTATCCCCCTAACTAGTTGGATAGCAAAAACCATCTTTGTTCATCGGCACATTATTTTCCTTTGTAAAATATAAAAAGCTAAATTGGGAGCACTCAAACACCAAAAACATTTATGGCATTTTATTTCGAGTAGTGGCTTGCAAACTTTATCCATATATATCTGTATATATCTACATCGAGATAGCCAAAATTTCTCAAACAACGAGTAAATTCTATTGAACCACCACAAACACTTCCTATGTTCCAAAGGAATTCAAACCTACTCGTTCCAGTGGAGCACACACACAATTTATTATCACTTTTAAAGCAGCGAATTGAACTTCAGAGTCTACCACCATTTCACCTTCACAGAATTCCAAAATTGTTCTAAAATTCGAAGCTCATGAAATCATTAAGAAAAATCGAATTTCACCAAACATAAAATTCCATTGATCTTATTTGCAGTTCCTCTCTAACACTGCGCTTACTTGGTTAAACAAGTGTATGTTTACCCGACAGTTTCAGCATTCTGCTCCCGTATTTTCAATGTACTTTCGCAAATATCCATCTGAATCCGAGGCACAGCAGAACACATCCACAAAACCTTGAGTAGAAAGTTCTTATTAATTCAGTGGTAAGCAGAAGTTTAATATTTTGCGTGATCGTGAAACCAAGCTAAATTCTCTCACCAAAATCACTATGAATCATCAATGAGAAAAAACACCATTTGAATCCAATGATAATAAAAACTTAATTACTAAACAAGTGGATTGAAAGAGAGCGATTTAATGCAAAGAAATGTTGAAATATGCAGCCAAAACAACTTACATCAAGAGACATTTTAAGAATTTCAATTTTTGAACCACCATTCCAAGAATTAGCCGTACCAACTAGAAAATACATAGTGCGAATAACTCCTAAACGTTTCAGTTCTTCAACAGGTCGCCAAGACGAATGCAAACCCAAAGTGTGTAGCAGAATCCAAACGCATGTTTTCAAATTTTCGTCATCAAGATGCATCCCCTGCAAAAAAAAATTTCTACATGAAAAAAGTGCAACAGGAAAAAAGAAGAATTTTTGAATCAGCACTTCTACTTAATTGCAGGATATCTATTGAGTAAAGAACTAAAGAAGTATGACAAGATTCACCTTATTAGCCGGTAAACCATGGACACACGAAGGAATGACGATATCCTTAAGACACTGTAACCGAGATACATGTATTCGTTTCAGATGTTCCACTTTAACAAAGATATGAGCAGCCATATAGCTGAAACGTCAAACCCGATCTATGCAGGATAACTCAATTAGCCAAGTAATTATTTTGATTAACCAGTATTTAGAAATCGTTGAAAACGTTCATAATTGAAAAAAAAACATACCTTCTGAAAGCCATACAAGTATTTCGAATGGCTTGCATACTAGTATAGAGATGTTCATCAGAAAGAACGTTCTCCGAATCTTCTTGCAAGAGGGTTAAGGTTGAAATCTGAAATGAAAAAATATTGGAAAAAACAGACTCGGATCCATTCACTTGTCCAACAATATTTTATATTAAAAAAATTAACGCTTGTCTATTAATTGAATTGGATGAACCGCCGAACATGAATTACAGAAAAAAATAGATGAAAACAAGCACAGCAGAATAAATGCTTCTGCAGCACATTTCCAAATACTTTAACAAGAAATCAAAAATTATTGTCACTACTAGTATTTGTAACCAGAAATTATTTCATATCATTTAAAATGTTCACATAATTAAACAAGCGCCGAGGCCCATCATAATCATCGAATCGTTCAAGTATAGGTCGAAATTGGAATGCGTGAGTAAAAAACATTGAGGAACCAGCGCGACCACTTTCATAACTATGCTCCAAAAGCCACAGCGCGTAGCTAGAAATAATGTTAGGAAATTTCATGGGAAACAATTTTTACAGGCATTAAATTATCCTAAAATCATCAAATCTGAAGCGGAAGCTTTAGTGGTGTCCAGTGAAACATATCTACTTCTCTTTTCAAAATCTATTCTTCATTTGGTATGCATTTATTTTAGATTCTTATATATCATCCTTAAAAGCTCGCTTGAAAGATTTACCAGTGACTCACGAAATATTTCGAAGGGATTCAAGGACATCATTATAAATATTAGCATCGTTGCAGCACCCCAACAGTATCCCGACCAAATGAAACAGCAACAAAATAGAACTCACTGAACAAGCTCATTAAGAGTCTGCTCCGGCAAAAGGCAAACGCCTTCCATCGCGTCTGCATTATAAGCCAAATAATACAGACATGTTCCAACAACAACTGATGCCAATGAGTCACGTTCTATACGAATCAAAAGATCTACGCCACCGGCTGCCACAAAATCTAGTGCGAGTCTACGATGAACCAAAAGACCGGCAAGATACTGAAAAACAAATCACAAATCTAGAAAACAAGAAATTAAGAACTATGTCTGAATTACTTATAAAACTACTTTTCCAGAAAAAAATTTTAATTGGTGGGATTGGAAATCCAAAGTTAACATTTAATAGAATTATATGATTTATAAAAACAATCATTTATCGATAAGGGACCTTCAAAACATCAAATATGAGACGGCTATCGTGATTCCGTGCACCCTCTAGATAGCGTAAAACAAGATCCAGTGAACGATTCTCGTAGGTTTCTTTCAAAAGCTGGAATATTTAAATAAAATACTGTTGTCTATGACATTCTAGCATGAATACTATACAGTTGTTGTGACCAAAAAATGCCAGATTTTTAGAATATTTACCACATTACAAGAACAAAAATACCAATAATTTATTTGCATTTATAAATCCAGCAAAAAAATTAATTGAAGTACTCGTAAACTATCTCAAAAAAAAGCAAATTAAATACATCCTGATATTCTCCAACAGGTGTAAGATACTGAATAATTAGGCGCTGTTCCATAACAGTTGTTAAAGGAAAGATTCGGTATTCTCCAAGACGCCGCTTTTGCATCTCAGCCCACTGACTGTTACTTTTCCCCTCAATAAATGATGCCGACCATAATGTGCTTGAGCTACGAGTCTAAAAACAAAGAAATAAAAATCACATCAGAGCGGTGCCATATAAATGGTGCCAAAATATCTGCTATACGCTTAAATATTTACCGAAATACACAGATTTGATTGATATTGTGCCTAATCAAAAACCGTTTATATCGGAAAGTACAAGAATCATAAGAAAAGAATCCAAGCTCAAATATAACATTCAACTACGTTGAATGAAAATGAGAAATTTATTCGGAAAAACTACTTTTGAGATCTAACTTGTGTAAATTTTATGAAATCCACTTACACGTTCTTCTTTATCTAGTTTGAATTTTTTTCGCGGTGGTACACCCAACTCTAAGTTCTCGGATGTTCTTGGATGCTCGTAAATTGGTTCACTGAAACTACACAAGTGAAGATACAAAAAAATTTAATAATTTCTTGTAAAAAAAAGTTTACACAATACTTTAAAAAACATAAAATAAACCGTATTCTTAGGAAGGATTTTCTTTCTTCATTATATACAGATCCAGTGAAATTCCTCGTAGCAACTGCAACGGATGATCCTGACGTTTCCGCCCCAAAGCATTTTGTTGTTTCACGTTCTTTCAAAATCTAAAACAAATCAAAGTTTTTGAAAGTCCTAAACTTCTTTTTAAATTATATTATCTGCTTTTGCAAAGATTTCTCCGTATACAATAATGGAAACAATGAAAACAATAATGAACAATAATAAAAAAGTCACTGACATAACAGAAGTGCCCGCAAGCATTAATGCATGTCAACCATATTTTATGAGAAATCAATTAAATTTCAGTCCCTTTATATTGATTACCGCAATTAATTTTCAGTTGGAAATCAATTCCTAGTAATACTTTTCTTCCATTTATATAGAACAGATTCTAGATTCTCTATATAAACTTTATAAACAAGCTATATTTCGCTTAATATTTTAACTTCTTTTTATTTATTCCTTTTTTCGTTTCTCATGCAATACTTTTAAAAATATGAACGACCAACATCAGATAATGAAGGTCTTTCACCGCTGTGGAATGTTTCCCTGGGAATACCAGCAAATGAACCATTATCTTCAAAATCCTCTTCTTTATTTTCTTTATCTGGTTCTGATACTTCCATAATTTCTTGTTTCTCCCTTTCCATTCGTTCCTGAAAACGTATAAAAACATTAACAAGTATAATCCGCAAATTCGGCAAATGGATTTGAATTATATCGTCAGTGAACAAAATAACTTACAAACAAATCCTTTAAACGTCGCAGAGCAATTGGAATGAGAGCAGAGTTTTCTATTTTAAGACTACTTGCAACACTTGTTACATCTAAGGCGGCAGCAAGCAAACCAAAAGAGTACGCCCGTAAATAATAATTGGTAGCATCACTTTCCGCCCATCTGTAAAGTTGTGGTATCAAACCTTCCGGTTCCTGAAATATTTTTATACATGAACATGTTTGCAGAATTGTCAGATCTGAAAAATTGAAGCATTGTTGAACTCTATTTTCATGAGGAGATAGAGACATCAGTAAAAAGAAATTAATGGTGAACTCCAATTATTGAAACTCACCGATAAGACAGCAGAATCTAAACCGGGGATAAGATTGAGCAACAATCTTGCGGAGGCAATATTCAATTCAATGTCATCGCGAGACATCAAGTAAGACACAAGAAGCTGGAAAAAGATTTTCTGAATGGCTGAGAACAGTAGTGTGAAAAAGCATAGCAAAATTGTAGAGTGAATTTACAATATTTGAATGAAAAATCTTGCAATCCAACTCGGTAAAGAATATTATAATTCCCGCAAACTTCACCGTCACATATAATTATCTCTAACCTTGTTCATGAATTCTTCGTAGCGACTGATAACTTTCAACAAATGGCCAAGGATACATGAAGGATATGTTTTGGCTGGATGACGATCATCTAGAGGATCTGGATCTTGCTTCAAAAAATCATCAGTTGCTTCTTCTATTAGTTCCGAAAGTCTACAATGTTCTTTCGGTTAATCAGAAGGATTTTAGCCAATAAAATCAATCAAATTTAAAAAGATGATGTTGCTAATCCAAATAACATCACCGCTTTATTTTTTTTTTGAAATTTTTTCAAGAAATCCGATTTACTTTAATATTTTAAAGTCTTTTCAAAAAATAAGCACACACTTCCTGGGCTTGAGAAAAACGATGGCAAACCTTATAAGGGATGGTTTAACACTGAACGAAGCATTATCATTCTCAGCTTCCCAAACAGCGAGAATAGCTTGCAATTCCCCGGCGGCACTCGATTGGCTTGGATGAGGCAAATGGGCTACATGTGCCCCGTGGTTCGACCGTGACGGAGCAAACATTGAAATATACAATCAGTCTGAAAACGAGCTACATATAAGGGCTGGAAAATGTGAGACTGTACAACCACACCGTATTTCAATTCAACTTGGCAGACCAAGGAACAAATTCTCGACATATCTACGCCTCGTACAATGCCCGAAACCCTCCATAACGAACCAAGTTTCTATAAATCACCATAGAAAGATCATAATGAAAACACTGGTCGCTCCGCAGTATATCAAAATGTGGACTTCTCAAGTGTCGGAATCCGTTGATCGTGTTTAGTTGAGCTTTACTTACTAAAGTGACGATGACCGGGTTTTATTAGCCTTTCATAGTACTTATTATTTATTTTTATTCTCTGATCGCATGATTTATCATTCACCAACATATTTAAATCGGTCTTTTGGCAATCTTCAGCGCTCGATGAACTGGTCAAACAGATCACACGACGAGTCATAGAAGAGTTCGGTTATCCTTTTGTGATTGAGTTCTTTGCAATTCACAAGAAATAATGAGTGTATTAGTAGTAAGCAACAGAGAAATATTTACAGATGAAAACTTAAACAGACTGGTGGCTATCCAGTGCCTAAAAGACATACACCTCGATAAAAATCTGTCATTCGAACGTTTGATATTAGACACTGACAAATTTTAATGGACTCAGTTTCTCTAGTAAAATAAGTAGAAAATAAAACGGATATTTACGGATAAACAATAATTTGCAATATTTCTTTGCCATGGTGCGAAAAACTTTTTCAAATCAGATTTATTTAATGTTTTATTTGACGAAGAAACAGCGGCCAATAGAAAAGGCTAATGAATTGCCATTTCCAAGTTAAGATGAACAAAGAACATTATTTAGTCAAGATACGAATGAATACCTTCAACTGCTTAAAAATTTAGCTCTTCCTTACGAAATGTGACGTAAAAAGCTGCACAAAATTCACACACATTAACCATACTGTCAGTTACAGCAAAATGCATTTATCTCCGTTTAGTGCAGTCAAATTATTTGTCCAAAACGATTATTTTATGGAGAGTATTGCGACAGAATAGTGCCGAAGGTGGGAGTCAAAATCATTAGCTCAGAAATAACGATCATTTTCTGAACTCTCTTCGTGTCTCTCTTTCATCATTTCCTTATTTTGTTCAACGATGGGTAGGTTTTTGCACTCTTCGCTTGTTTACCTCAGCACCGTTTCCCTGTCGCACTTTTTATCAAAGCTTATACAGTAAAAAAGGGGAGTGAGAAATCAGAAGTTTAGTGAAACGAGAACGTTATGAAAAGCGGTGACAAGAAATAACGAAGGGACTTGCAGAATGCCATGACGGTAACAGTAACATCTTTTTTGATAGTTTTCAGCAAGACCATCTAAACGAAGATCTCATAATTCTGAACCAAAAGTAGGATGCTAAAAACACTATGACACAACGTCAGTAAAAGTGATAACTTTAATGATTTCGGAAGTGCTGATAGTAGTTGCGAAAAGATTAAGTGCAGGACACCAGCCAAAGAATGGCTACCAATACTTCTTGAGGAGAATAGGACATCCCCACTTCAGATACTCACTCCTTTACCCATGTCCATACAAAAAACAGTTCTCACCCACTTCTTACCGTCCCGCTACTAAAAACTTCCACTGACATTTTATGACGGGCCGCGTTAAATCTTATTAGCAACACTGGTCCTTAATGGTGGGTTGGTGGTTGCGTGCAGGTTGTTGGGGAGACTTGGGGATCTTAGGTAACACAGTCAGCGAAATGTTGTATGTAATGAAGTGTCAGGTAGAGGCCATTTGTAGAATTTCATTAAAAGTATTGATTGATGAGTGTTAATAATATCACGAAGTGAGTCATAAAATCGATCGGTAAAAAGGAAAAGGAATGTTCAGAAAAACTGACTCTTGCGTCTTTGCAGACATGGCGATTTCCACTTCGAAACCTTGACTATGGCTGTGCCTATTAGCGTTTTGTCGTCTTCAGCATAGCTTGTATTTACGCGAACTGCACTGTGCGCAAGTCGGATTTTTTGATGATGGTATTGTGAAAAACTATGGCACGCAATCTGCGTTGTGAAGCTTACTTACATGCATTATGGTTGTATGCTGAGCAGTACGATACCGCTTGCGTTTGTTCAAGAAGAAAACACCGAAATTTCATTTTGCTGGATTTTTTCTTGCATTACCGAACCAAATTGATTAATGTATTCAAAAGTTGTGTGAATTAATTTATTCTAAATAGGAGGTGGAAGATGCGAATGGAAGTTTGAAGCTGCCGTGAAATGAAAAATTGAACTTTGCTTCGCGATAATGCTCTTATTTTCATGCTAACGCTCAAATCAGCCTTAATACATTTCAAACAATATACATTTGAGTATAGCATCCCTACAATGCCCTTAAAGGCTGTTTAAAATACGGTTCATTCGTGTGATGAAGTTTAAGTATAGTCCGAATTTAACAACTGACTGTATGTCTTTTAGATTTCAGTGTACTAATAAAGTTAGCTGTTTGCTAAGCTGCTTGCAGTTTAAGACATAAATGTTTTGTTGTTTTGTCAGTATAATATGTATCCATACTCCATTTTAATGAAAAGTTTTTATATTGCTATTTTGGAGGTTCTTTTTTCTGTTTGACTTCATTTGTGTCGAAGCCTATGAAGACATTGATATTACGTGAATATCTTTTTTTGTCAGGAATATTCTTTTATATTGCACAGATCGCTTCATCCGCTGGAAAACGCCATGTGTTTTGCGTCACCATGTTTTTGCTAAATTTGATGAAAGAAGGTCCTCTGGTGATAATATTACAAGTTTCTGCTATCCGCGAATCTGGAAGTTAGCTTAATGTTGCCCCCAATTGCGTTTTCTCTAAAAAATTAAGCTGTGCATGAAAGGAAGTAAATTTTAAATATTCTGTATTTAATACATTTACTAATGTTTGGACGGAATTCAGTGATAGATACCAAAATGGAGATGGTTACATAACAGCATTGTCGTCGCTGAAGCATATTTTATTTAAATTCTAAAATTGTGGTGTTAAACTTACAATATTTAGTGGATTCAAATACACATCGTTGCTGATCATCTGAGAATTTCTTGCACACTTCATTACCGCCACTACACCTGTTAGTTATACTAATTTGCAGTTAGAAATTAATTAGTGACGATACAAAAATGAAACTGTTTATCGCGTACTTGAGTTTTTTTTGCAGGATAAAATGGCAAGTGATATAATAGAAAAATGGTCGTGCTTACAGTGTACTTACGCAAATTTTCAAACGGCAAAAGCATGTACGATGTGTCGTACTCCACGACACTCAGTTTTTATTACCGAACCACCTTCTACTTCCAGTGCTGTTTGTGGTGGTGAAGAAACTGAACAACGGTGGCCTTGTCCAGATTGCACATACCTGAACGTCCTGAAATCACGCCACTGTACGGTGTGCATGTGTAAACGACCTACTAATTTTGATTCTGAGGACGAAAAGGAATTCGTCTGCAAAGGTCACGAGTTTTGAAAAATTAAGTGATTTCCAAACTATTTCTCGGTTAAATTTCTTTCTTGACGGCAGTGTTTTTTTTCTCTATGAATATATTTTATATATATAATATCGGTTATTGACCTTTTTTTGGGACTTCTTGGAATATTTTTGTATTAGTATTCCTTTTATCTAGCTTTCTCAAGTAATTTTTATATGTCAGATGAATGCTCAGTCGATCTCGAACAAGTTGAGAAGTTAGGAAAAGCACTGCATAAGTGGGATTGCTCGCAGTGTACTTACAAAAACTGGCCTAACGTTAAACATTGCACAATGTGTGGTACACCAAAAGATTATGTTTCTGTGGGCATTGGTAGCGACATCATTGGTCAGGATTCATGTGGTTTGCTTTGTTTAAGTTACGTTTACTGTAGTTAGAATATTAATGCTTCCTTAAGTATACAGCTATACTGAGTTAATCTAATTACGTCATATAGGTTTTGTTTTTTTTACATTCTTTCTAGATTTGCATATGAGGGCCAAATAGAATTACAGAAACTGAAGAAATACTCTTTTAAACAGAATTATATACTGTATGCTTTTGCACATGCAATAATTGAAACCGCTTTTTTGAGGAGAAGGCGATATTGCAGCATGTCGTTCCTTAGTCAAGGAAGAAACTGATGATCTATCAAAATATATGGAAAAAAGTACGAAAGGTTTATAATTGAAAATTACTTTTTTCTTTCATGCTATAAATAATACTAGCAATATAAATTTGTGGCAATATGCTGCAGTATTATTATAGATCATGAAACTTTGTACAGATTCTATTTGTAGTTCATGTGCATAATTTTCCAACGTGTGAAGTTTATACATGATAATTCGTTCTATCGAGTTTGCTGAGAAAGTATTGTCAAAGGCCATTATAATTTTCACAAATGAGATTTTAGATTTTGCTGAAGAAGGGAGTGAAGACCATCATGGAGCTGGGAAAGCAGCTAATGTAAATTTAAATAAGCGGATTACCTTTCTCGACATGTACCTTTCTCATCTAAATAAATCAGTAAGTTATTGAGATGCAATTTTATAGTATGTCTGTTTTCTGACTAACTATTTTTATAACTCATTTGTCTATTGCTTGAAACAATGTACAGGTTGACACGGGTTGCGCATCATTCCTAGAAACATGTGCTGAAATCCTCCGACAAAGTAGTGATGCTGAAGCTAAACTTATTCATTACATTTATCATTATGGCGAAGGCAATCGAAGAATCAATGGCTTTGAGGTTAATTTTTGATAGTCTGCAGTATTTAGTGTGATGTATTTGTTGTTATTTCTGTTACACATACTTGCTGAAAAAAACAAACAAAATCAATTTCTTGAAATACCCTGACAGTTATGCTATTCATCAGCAAAAATCACCACCACCAGGATTTTTTTGTTGCAAACGTTCCTTTCTGTGTATAACATGACCATGGACAGAACGAAATTATGTGTATAAAACAATTCCTGTCATATTTTATTCCATCCATTGTTGCCCGATCTGCATGAAACTTCTGTTTCCATTATGTGATTGTGTTATTTTGCATTAACTGGAACTTCTGAAGTTCCTGAGACGTATTGCTTCTTGCATGTTACTGCCCAACCTACACCCTATGAAGTGTTCAAGCTGAGATTCATGAAAATTTTTATTTGTGGAAACCTGCTACAAACAGAGTTTTGCTTTGATAATCATTGCATTTTCAGACTATGTTGTTGAACGATGTTGACGAAGACAGTGCATCAACAGTTGTTAATCGTTCAGTTATTGATATCATTCGAAGCAAGAACAGCAGGATTTTGGCGAGTGTGCCAAGATTTTTCATGGATTCCTTGTCTTGCACAGTTGCAATTCCAGGATTAGGTATGCATTAATTTTATTCCTGCTCGAAAAACGAAATAGTCGTGTTTTTCTGTGAGTTTCATTGTTTTTCTTGAAAAGATAGACTGTTTTTTATTTTGGAAACATAAATGTGCAAGTTTTCTTAACTTGTTATAATGGATTCTTCTGCTTTTCTGGTAAGTCTTTGTTCTCTAGGTTGCGAGGGAGAG